CAAGTAGCCGGAATTACAGGCATGCACTACCACGCCCGGCTGATTTTTTGATTTATTGTAGAGATGAGGTCTCGCTGCCCAGGTGGTTCTTGAACCCGCGGGCTCAGGCAATCCACTCACTTCAGCCTCCCAAAGGTGCGGGATTACAGGCTGAGCCACCGGGCCCGGCCAGCCTGACTAATTTATAAGCCACATGTCTGGTTTTCATTCCCCGCTTTCAGTCCCTAGTGATTTCTCAGGCTTCTTACACATTTTACTGAGGTCCTCCATAGTTTTATTACTACATCCTTCTGCAGGATGGTCTCTTCTCACTCTTCCCTTACCCCAGTTTCATTATTCCAACTTTGCTTCTCCTCTTTCATTTTCTCAAGCACAGAACAGTTTTCCCTCACTTCTGAGTCTTCAAATAATATGCCTGGATGATTCTTTGTCCCCTCTTTGCTTACTCAGCTCAAGCTCCTTCTTCAGGCACCAGCTTAGAAACTGCTGCTTAGAAAGCCTTTCCTAGATGGCCCTTCCTGGTGTTTTGGGGCAGCCTTCACCTGACCCTCAGCAGGTGCCTTCCTCACCCATCTGCTCTGTATCGTAACTTCCCTGCAAGGACGGGGGTTGGGTCTGGCATGTGTATCTTTGCTTGGCAAGCATTTTGCTTGGTGCGTGGCTCCACGAAGATTTTGTGCAGTCAATTAACTGGAAGATAGGAAAGCCACCTGACAATAGTAAACGAGGAAAGTGAAATACAACTCAGTGTTAAATTTTGTAGCATTGTCTGGAAGTACAGTAGGAAACCAGAGAAAGGTAAAGTTTATGGAAGAATTGGGACCAGAGCTAGCCCCAATTTTTATAAAGTGCATAAAACCTAGAAAATTAGCAGGAAAGAAAGAGAGGAGTTATGTAATGGGACTGAAGGCTGGGAAATAGCCGTGCCTGTTGTTTGGATCAGTAAAGAAGTTGGGCCGGGCTCCGTCGCCTCAGCCTGTAATCCCGTGCCTTTGGGAGGCTGAGGTGAGTGGATTGCCTGAGCCCCCGGGTTCGAGACCCTCCTGGGCAGGCGAGACCTCATCTCTACAATAAATCAAAAAAATTAGCCGGGTGTGGTAGCACATGCCTGTAGTTCCTGCTACTTGGAAGGCTGAGGCAGAAGGATCGCCGGAGCCAGCAGGTCAAGATTGCGGTGGCCGGGAGCGGCCACTGCACTCCAGTCTGGGCGACAGAGTGAGACTCCAACTCAAAAGAAAAAAAAAAAAAAAGGAAATTGGGTTACTGTTGGGATGATAGGAGTTAAGCCTGGTATTCAACTGACTTTGGGTACTAAATGTAATTTAGACAGGATTCAGTAGTGCCCCTTTCAATCCAGTGCTTGCTTTGCTAGCAGAATAAAAAGTTGGGTTTTTTTGTTTTGTTTATTTTTTTTACTTCAGGTTCCTCTTTTTTTTAATCAATATTTTTTATTTTAAAATTGTGGGATACAGTTAAGGGTTAGGTATACAAATATGCATCGTTCAGGCACCCTTGTTGATAAGAGGTGTCTTCCTGTCCCCAGACAGATATTGACTACCGTTAATCCCACCTCCCTTCCCCTCTCTCCCCCCCCCCATCAGGTTCCTCTTAAGGATGCATGAACCAAATCAAACTTTCCATCTGGGGAAGGCCTTACTTCTAGGTTATAACCTAAGATGCCTTCTTCTTTCTTTCACACTCTTCTGATTCCAGTTGATTCTCTCTAACTTTGGGAAATTATTTTTGAAAAAACAGCATGTGGCCGCTGGGTTTGAATCACTTATACACAAATATAGATGATATACAGTTTTAGGCAGACTCTGAGTTGCAGTTCTTTTGATTC